CTGGTTGGAAAGCCAGAGACCAAGGACAGTGGGCTACGGCGGGCCGGGACAGGGGGTGGGAGTAGGGGCAAGAACGGGCCTGGACGTGGGGTAAGAGCGTGAAGTGGGAAGAAAGAGCTGACTCAGAAGAGCCCGCTGGGCAAGCGCCCACGGACCCCGCACCACGGCCGCCGCGCCTCCGCCTCCCTGGAGCCTCCCTCCCGGGTAGGAGGAGCCACAGCGCCACCCAGCGGCCAGTATCGGTAACAACAGTCAGGGCTCTTCCGTGGCCTCAAAGGAGAGCGGGAGCTGAGTGGAACTGGGACGATGGAGGCAGGCCTGGAGGAAAGTGAGTGCGAGGGCAGGCGAGCAGTGGATGATGATTCTTCAACCAGACCCTCCGTTCACTTCACCCACCAATCCATCTGGCACATGACACTAGGTGAATTTTATTTCAAGTCAGCTGATGACATTCCTCTCAAGCAACCATCCAACAATCTTTTATGGCTCCCTATAAGTCACTGTATAAATCCCAAATTCCTTGGCTTGACTTTTAAGGCCTTCTATGTTTTGATCTCAGGCTATCCTTAAGCTCATCTCTTGCTACCCACTCCACGCATCTTCTACCACTCACTCTCTCCCAGATGGACTGCTCACCACTCAACCACTTCTGCATCCACACCCATTCAACTCAGTGAGCATTGACTAGGAGAGATAGGAAGAAGACAGGTCCTTGCCTGCATAGAGCTTACATTTAAAGGGCAAGAGAGACAATAAACAAGAAATCCAAATTATAAACAATACCATTTCAAATAGTTACAAGTGCTAGATTCTATAAAAAGGGTAGTATGATAGAGTGACTGTGGTGAGAAGGGCACTACTATACCTAGAGTAGCTAGAAAAGGCCTTTCTGAGAAAGTGACATCTGAGTTTAAACCTTAAAATGAAGAGTCAGCCTTGCAAAAATCTTGGGGAGGAACATTTCTCACTGAGGAGAGACATGGTCAAAGGTCCTGAGACAGGAAAAAGTTCAGCATTTCAGAGGAAAAGAAATAAGACAGAGTGACTGAAGGACTGAAGGATAGAGTGAAGGGAATATATTGGGTAGGTCTGGAGAGGTAGTCAAGTGGTAGGTTGTATAGGGTACCATGCGCCATGCTAAGGAGCTTGGATTTTATTCTGGTAGAGATGGGAAACTACGGGAGGATGTTACAGGGTCGAACAATGATCATGTTAGCCTCACTCTGGGTGGACTGTGAGTGGGGTGCAAGATTAGAAGCAGGGATACCAGTTAGGAGGCCATTTTAGTGGTCTAAGAGAGAGTTGATGGTACCTGGACTAGGTGGTGACAATGGAGGTGGGAGATATTGTCAGATTCTAGAGGTATTTTGAACAATTTCTGTTCATGTGTTCTGTCCCCCAACCAACCCAGGATCTTCTTGGGGGCAGATTCCATATCTCAGTGATTTTTGGATTCCCCTCCTATACCCCTAAGCAGTTAGGCTCATAGGTTTTTAGTGTTAAGTAAATAGATCTATATGACCTACCACGGTGAATGTGACAGGAGGTGATGGCAGTAGGACAGAAATTTGGCCCTTGGGCCTAACTTCTGGGGTTTATTTCCAGTTGTTCTAATAAATTTCTCCTTTTTTGTTTTTTGTCTTTTGGTGTCTCTTAAAGAATTTAAAAGTGGTAGCAAAGAAAATGCATGAGTTATGGAGGTTGGTCCTCTATGTTAGTAACTGGGCTTAATGTAAGTCTTCACATACTTTATTTCATTTGAGTTAATTTATTTAATCTCTGTAACAATATCTAATCATATCCTTTCATTTTAGAGATAAGCAGATTAGGAAGAACAAAAAATGAAAAGGGACTTTCTGAAGTTGGGTAGAAGAGCAAAGTTGTCATAGCATAAAATCATCACTATTTTGAGTCCCAAATAAGCCCTTCTTCCCATTTAACACCGTAATGCTGTTTATCCATATCCATTATGCTAAAGTTTTTCTTAGTCCCTTGTTAATTCATAGTATTACAAAGTCTCGAGGTGAAACTATAGGTCTTGAAAAGGATTCAAGGTTTCATGAAGTCAATGAAAGTGATGTAGGAGACCATCTCGAATGTCATGTCAAATTCTTGATAATGGGGATTTGGCAGAGAGAGACCAGTTACCATTAGCAGAAGAGAAAATTGACTTGGGTAATGACAGGATCAGGGCTTCAAAGAGAATGATTCAACTCTCAAAGGATTACAAGAGGTCCTTGGGGTAATTGAAGAAGCTCTTTAATTTTGGAAAAACAAAACAAAAACTCTGCTTATGACTGTGCTGCAAAAGTCAATATTATGCTTTCATGTACTTTTGTCAGGAAAATTACATTATTCCCTCAATACTTGATTTATTCTTTGTTCATTCTAAGAATTAGTGCATATTTGCACATTTTACATGTTTTAAATTGAGACTAAAATATTTTCTACATTTCTAATTTTATTTCTCAAGATGAAGTCAGTCTGAATCAAACCCTTTTCCCATTTTCTTCCACTCTACTATGAATTATTGGTCACCATTTCAAGTGGATTCATTGTAAGTGGCCTTATTCTAGCACCACTTATCCTCAAATAACAAGGACTTCATGTAGCCCCAGCCTTCTCTTCACCCAGTAATTGTCAAGCCTGGCTGCACATTAGAATCACTTGTGGAGTTTGCTAAATAATACTGAAGGTTGGATTCACCCCCACCCCAGACTAATTAAGCCAGGATTTCTGCCGGTGGGGCCAGAGCTAAAACTCTCCAGGTGATTCTGATGCACTGCCAGGGCTGAGCCTTCCTTGCCCATGTAGAGGCTGAAAGACACTGAGGCTGTTTGCAGCTGAACTCACTGGAAGGGAGAATGCCAGGACCTAGGCTTGGTTAGAGGAGGGGAGTTCAGAGGCAGCTGCATTGTGATGCTAGCTTAGTCTGAGAGTCAAAGGGTGACATATGGCTGGTAGAGCTACTTCCTTGGTATAGCCACTGCCCCCTTTACAACCTTAGCACCATGGGTGCACAGCCCCCTCTATTTCTGCATGTAGTAGGTTAGAATGTGACCTCCATTCCTTTACTCTCTTTCCTATACCCAAGGCCAAGAAAGCCTGGCTCCCTCCTCATAGGCATGCAGTGAAACAAAGACTCTAAAGTTATAGTGAGTGTATTATAGTTGCTTTATGTATAAAGTGATGTTATCTTGTAGCTGTATAATGTTTCTGTTTCCTGCTGTACTGTTAGCACCCAGCATAGTGCTTGATACATAGTAATTGCCCAGGAGGTATATTTTAAATGAATGACTAAGTGGAACACAGGCAGGATGTAGTAAGTACCATGATTAAGGGACAAAGTGTTATTGAGGTACAGTGAAGAAAAGATTGTTTCCAGGTTGGGGGTGTGAGTGGAAGTCTTCATAGCCAGAGATGGCATTTGAGCTGGATTTTGAAAACTAGGAAAGTCCATGATAGATAGAGAAGGAAAGAGGGCATTCCAGGGAGAAGAGACAAAGTGAGCAAAGGGCAGGAGATGAGAAGATGCAGAGCTCATTCAGAGACTCATCAGTAGGGCTATGGGACTTGTGCTTGTGAGTGCCTATGGGGGAGATAAGACTAGGAGGATAGGATCAGGAAATAAAGAGCCTTGAACGGCATGCTCAGAAGTTTACACTTGATTCTACAGACAATATGGAGCCATTTGATGTTTTTGATTTTTTTTTAATGTTTTTGAGAGATGTAATATGATTGCTTTACAATGATTAGCTGCGTCCTTTAGGAAACTAAACTTGGAAAAATTACTTTCACAAAATCTCTGTCAAGGGCTTCTGAAGTGCATAGCATTGTGCTAGGTGGAGGATGGATTGGAGTAATTAGCAAGAGATTAGTTGGTAGACTATTGCAGTACTTCAGGCAAAAGCTACTGAGGGCTTAAAGCAGCTTAATGGAAGTTGGGGTGGAAAGCAGGGGGAGGACTTGACACATATTATGGAGTGAGATGACAGTATTTGGTGACTATTTTAGGTAAGGGTGAGGAAAAGAGAAGAAAGACTGAGTGACTACTGATAGTAATGATGATCAGCATTTGAATGGCTCCTTTGTGCTGGCTGTTGTGCCAAGTACTGCATGTTTACCATCTAATTCTCACAATAGCTCTTGGGATAGATGAGGACACCAAGGAAGTAAAGGAACTTGTCTAAAGTCATACAAGTGGGAGATGGTCAGGGCTAGAATTAGAACTCATATAGTTTGGCTCCAGAGATCATGCTCTAATTTCCATGCTGTGCTGCTTCTGGGGGAGTGGGTGCAGTTTACTTGAAGTAATTTGGCAGCACAGTCAGGATGCCAGCCTCCCTCCTGGCCGTGCTCACTTTCCTCACTCTTGTGAAAGAAGTGGTAGAGGTGGAGGGCGCCTTCTGTCACCCCTCTGGCAGTTCTTCCTGAGTGCCTTTCCCCCTGTGATGGACCTGGTGAAGGGCAGATGGGGCTGAGAGACTAACTGAAGCTACAACAAAGGTTGAAAGCTAGTAATCCACAGGCCACATGGGAATTTAACCCATGTGGAGGTAGTTTGGTTGTTTTGTTTTTAGACTTGAATCAACATTTAGGAATTAAGGGGCTTTGCAGCAAAATCCTGAGTCCTGATTTCCACTGAAGAATGAGACGATCTGGCAACACTGGGCCTATGTTTCCACCAGAAAACTCTGGGGCTTCGGCTGTTCCCCTTGCAAAGGCCTTACAGTTCTCATCACTCCCATTTGAGTCTACACTTTCCTCAGCCTGGCCCACTTCACTCCTTAGTTATCTGCCTCATCCCTGCAGGTGGTTGGCTTTGTGATTCCTTGTCTAGAATGGAAACCACAGAGTTTACCCTTTTCTTCCTGAGATTTGAGCTGACAGGGGACCAGGCACAGGGTCAGCATCCCCTGGTCCCACCCCATTCCCAAGCCACAGATTTTTTTCCTAGGGCAGCAAGCTCTACTCCGCAGAACAAAGCCATGAAGGGAGGGTTATCATCAAGTCTTACCATTTATTTCTTTATGGGGTTAAACAAGAGCAGAGAGGCTTCTGCCCCACAATGCAACAAAACAGAAAGCAGTACACATACAGACTCTCACCGAAACACAGAGGCACAGGTAAGGGGGCAGGCAGAGACAACTGAATCATAGCCAGGTAAGGTAGGAAGGGATGGGGATTACTAGGAAACCAGCTTGGAGACTCAGTCATAGGGACTAGTGCAAGAAAGTCCTACTCTTGAAGCACAGTGTAGAAAATGGCAGAAGAAAGCTGCCCGGCTCTGCTGCCTGTGATGGAGGGCAGGGTCAGCTGGAGAGGTGGTAGAAGGTTGAGGTTAGGGGGCAGATGGGAGCAGTCAAATGACTTTGAGGTGGCATGTGGTGCCCCTTTCCCCTGCCACTGGGAAAGGCCTTGGGCTGGTCTGAGCCAGGGGTCTCCTGGGCACTTGGTGAGAGGGAAGGAAAGATGGGAGTCTCCAAGGGTCCATTCCCGGGAGCCATATGGTCCCCGTTTACTTCCCAGTCCCTTTTCCCCTCGTAAGGATGTGGGAATCAGAAGGCAGTACCTAGGGTCTCTCTGGAGCCCAAGCACCTGCCCCTCCACTTACATATAAGCATGTCTGGAAAGGAGCCAGCACCTCTTTCCCTTCCCAGTTGAAAAGAGCACTCTAGGGATGGGCTATGTGGCCAGGCCCAAAGTGCTGAGGGCCAAACAGGGGAGTGTGTGGGTAGGGCATGGGGTGTTTGGAAGGAAAAAGCCTATGAGAAATGAGAAAACTAGCAAGGAAGGATTCCCTAGTCTCATGAAACCAATTTGGGACCCAGCTGAGGCCCAGGCATTAATGATTCTCTCTCTACGAGGCAGGCCTCTCATTTATCCCTAAGCTGACCAAATGCAGCTCTCTCCTTCCTATCTCCTTCTTGGTTTCACTCTAATGCAGCTCCACGCCTGCTCCTCCACTTTACTCACTAGCATCATGTCCTAGGATGACACAGGCCTTTCTGGCACGGAAAGCCTCCTGGCCTCTCACAGAAATACAGTTCTTTCTCCCTTTTCTTGTTGGCTTTTATTGACTTTTACATATCCTAGGAAATGTGCCCCTCCAGCAGATCAAAACAAGTCTAATGACCAGCAAGGGGCACTCAATGGCTCTTGTCCTGCTTTCTAGTCTGACTAGATAGTCGAAATCTATCAGCCAAGAGATGAAAGCCCATTATCTTTAGTCAAATGGTTCTCTTGCTAGTCTCTGGACTTTCTCTAGCAAGGGATGGGGTGACTGAAGCAGGGGACTCCATTACAGGGTGAAAAGGAGTCTGGTTGTTCCACAGCTGAGACAGTAACCCATGGGGTCAGAGATGGAAAAGGATGAATACTCTTTGGTAGGCTGGGGATAGGGACAGGGACAGGGACAGGGTAGGGATGAGGGGGCTTATCTCTGGAGAGCTCTGGAGGAATCCCACCAGGTTCTCCTTCATGGAGGCCTGGGCTAGGACAAGATGGGAGAGTATGAGGACCCAGGCCAGGCGACCACTTGGGCTTAAGTCCCATCTCCCCATAGAGATCAGAAATGGAAATGTCTTTGGCCCCAAGGCCAAGATCTCCAGGGCAAGAGTGGCCCTTGGGAGTATGTGCACCTTCTGTAAGATATGGCCCTTCAGACAGTGGCAGTTGAACCACATGCTCTCAGCCTTCTATTTCATGGCCCCAAAACTCAGTTCCTATGCTCTTTCCCAGAGGATTCCTTATGTAACTCTCTTTTTGAAAGAGAAATCTCTTTGATTTGGGGAGCAGATCTGGAGCCTGCCTCAACACTAACTGCCCATCTCTCCAAAGCCAGGTGGCAGTAGCCCATCAGGCCATCTCTCCAAGCTCTGTCCTGATCTCTCCTCTTCTCTTCCCCTTCCCTGTCTTCACTCTCTCAGCACTCATTCTGTACCCCATTCCTACCCCTCATTGCTTAGGGTGGTGGGGCATAGCTAACTGGGACCCCAAACTAGCCACAACTGTGTGCAGCTCATCTTCTAGCATGGTGCTTCACTGTGATGGGCCCAAGTGGAGCAAGGTGCACTGAAGTGGCAGGAGGGCCATTGCAGTGTCTGCCGTCGCCTGTAGGGATATGGGAAGGGGGGAATTAAGGATCCTGGCAACAAAAGGAATGCAGATGGGGGAAAAGAGCTTCTCCCCTTTGTGCCCCCCAACATTCCCTGCAGGTCCAAGGCTGTGTGAGCAGCCTCTTTCCCTGGGGTCAGGGCTCCTGGCAGGGGTGGACATTTCCAGCCCCTACTCCCCCCCTTTGTTTGCTAAGCCCCATAGATGGGGTCTTGGGAGGGGGCACCTGTTGCTCTTGCCTTTATCTCTGTGATGAGTTTTATAGCTCCCTGAGGCCCTCTGGGCATTCTGTTGGAGCTATTTTGGGGGTGGGGTAGGTTGGGGGAAAGTGTGGTCCCCCATTTTTCCCCGCCCCCCCTTGTCCTATACCCCCCCATGGGAGGAGCCCTCTCCCCCCACCTGGAGGGGCTGATGTCAGTATGTGGTGGAGGTCTGTCCTCCCTCCCTACTGTCACTCTTCCCGTGTCAGGCCCTCCTCTAGGGAAGGCAGTGTCTCCAGCCCTAGTCCCCCACCACCCTGGTTGCTGGAGAAGGACACCATGGTATGGAGGAGCATGAGAACAAAAACACAGAGCCGGATCCTGCTGGGGCTGAGACGAGAACCCCCAGAGACCGGCAGCAGGGAAGGCTTATGACTGACACGGCCTGGGGGGTCATGGCGGGGGTGGTAGTGGTGGTACTGTTGGTGGTAGTGGTGGAAATAGGAGTGGTGAAATTGCTGGTGATGGGTTTTTGGGGCCTCAGATTCCTTGAACTTCTTCTTCTCCGACTCACAGGAGACCCACTGCACGTCACAGCACTTGGTTTCCGGCCGCTTTGGTGAAGTATCCAGTAACCCTGCCAATGGATAAGGAAGGTGTGGTGGGGTGCTCAGAGGGCTTATGGCTATGCCTTATGCTTTAATCTAGAGAGGACTGCTCAGGGAGCCCTATCTAAGACTCCTTTCCCCCTGGTCCTCAGCAGTTTTCCTTTCTGAGCCCTTTTTTCCTGGAGCCCACAGCCAGTTTCTCCAGGGTGACTCCTGGGCTGTGTGTTCTAGATAAGAGATGGGCACTCTGGTCTTTCACCCTATTCCACTTGGCCCTATCCCAGACTGGGGACCTCAGTGCCCACTCCTCCAGCCACTGGCCTTCTTCTAACCTGTCTTCCCTGTTGTCCTCCCTACTCCCACTCCCCTGGCCTGGTGCATGTCCTGGGTACCCAGCCTCCTCCCTCTTCCCCAGTGCCCTGCCTTTACCTGTACATATAAAGCCAGGGAGCCCTCCGTACACCATTTCCTCATTGTCAGGGAGTATAAAAGGGCACCGGGTCTGCACCTCCAGGCAGTATTGCTTGCAGGGCACCCAGCGCTGGCATTCCTGCTGGGTCACGCTGAAGTATTCTGAGCACAGCCAGGCCTTGTAGACAGCCTGTGGGGAGAGGAAAGAGCATCAGCCCATGTGTCAGCCCCTTCCCACCTCAGAGGAGAGGGATGAGGGGGGCATAATTGTGGTCTCAAAAGTGGATTCACCAGCTTAACCCCAGGATCCAGGGTTGGACGGTTCAGGTCAAGGCCACTACACTACATCCTACCCTAAGATCTCTCATCTTACAGCCCAACTCCCAAGTTGCCCAGTCTGTAATAATCCAAGTTTCCGAATTTGTTCATTGGCAAAAATCACAAAATTACTCCCATGTCAGAGCTGGAAGGAGCCTTACCAATCGGTCCATCCATCTCTATCATTTAACACTTGGTCCAAAGAGGTGGCTTAACTTCTCTGAGGTTACCTGTATATAATGAGGCAAATTTCAGTTACGTTTGATTCAGCAAACATTTATTTGGCTGATAGTGTTGAGTTCTTAAGTTCAAGAAAGAAACGAAAAGAGTAATCTTTGCTCTGCCTCATTGGGGTGTTGTATGGATCAAATAATATGGCACATGTGAAAATATTTTATAAATTATAAAGTGCAACACAAATGTGAGGAGTTATTTTTAATATGCATGGGAATCTGCCTTCCTAGGAACCACAATTGCCCTTGAGCTCTACTTAATCCACGCTGAGTCCTGTTGGCTTCAGCTCTGGTACAGAGCAGACATCATGGACACTGCTACATTTAATTTAGAATCTTGGCTTTGTAGTTTCATTTTATGGGTATATTTTCTGCTCCTCATCTTACCCAACCCTACCAGGCACTGGGTCCTAGCTAAGCAAGGTTCCCTCCTCCATACTCTTTGGCTATCATCAAGGCAGGGTTTCTTAACAGTCCCACTACTGACATTTTGGGTTGGATAATCATTTGTTGTGTGGGCTGTTCTATGCATTGTAGAATATTGAGTAGTATCCCTGGATCCTAGATGGTGGCACCATTCTCTCCCTTCACTCATTATCACAACCAAAAAGATGTCCCTAGCCATTGTTGAATATCCTCTGGGCAAAACTCTCTCCCATTGAGAACTACTGATCTATTTCTTTGCTACTCAAAGTGTGGACCTGGGCCAGCAGCATCACCAAGGAGCCTGTGAAAAATACAAAATCTTCAGGCCCTGGCCCCAGTTTGCCGAGTCACCATCTCTAGTTTAACAGAATGCCCAGGTGACTCTCATGTATGGGATTGGAGTTCTACCTGCATCCAGCCCTGGTATCTGCAGGAGTGCCTTCTAGGTTCATAGTTGCTCCTCACAGCAATAGTTCTCAAACTTTGGTGTGCCTCAAAATCCCCTGGGGCTGGGCTGGGTGCAGTGGCTCACACCTGTAATCCTAGCGTTCTGGGAGGCTGAGGCAGGTGGATTGCCTGAGCTCACAGGTTCTAGACCAGCCTCAGCAAGAGCAAGACCTTGTCTCTAAAAATAGCCAGGCATTATGGCGGGCACCTGTAGTCCCAGCTACTTGGGAAGCTGAGGCAGGATAATCGCTTGAGCCTAAGAGTTTGAGGTTGCTGTGAGCTATGACACCAGAGCACTCTACCAAGGATGACAAAGTGAGACTCTGTCTCTCTCTCTATGTATATATAGCTCTTAACTTTTTTTATCCGAAATCTGCTGTCACCTTTAAGTTTTGATCATTTCAGTAAGTGCCATGAAGCCTAGGTGTCAGCCTTCATTTCTCTTTCACTGCACCACCACATCTAGCCCATCAGCAAGGCATGCCAATTCTAGCTCGACATTCACACCTTTGTGAAGGCCATTATCCTCTCTCACTTGGGTGACAGCCTGCTATCTGGCCTCCCCACCTGTACTCTGGCTTTTTCCAGTCCACTGTCCACACAGGAGTAGGAGTGGTCTCGAAATGCAGTCGAATCATGTTACTCCCTTGCTTCAAATTCTTTAATGCATTTAGACTAAAACCCAAACTTCTGACCACAGACTTCAGGCCCTTGCATAACTTCACACCTGTTTCTCTCTCCAATCTCATTTTCTATCTCTCCCTTCAAGTTCATCATACTCTACAAACAGAGGTTTTCTTTCTTTTCCTTGAACATGCTCTACTTCTTCCCACCTTAGTGCCTTGGCATATGTTGCTCTTTTGGCCTAGAATGTTCTTCCCCCACTTGTGGTATGGTTCAGTCCTTTTTATGTTTCAAGTCTCAATTTAAGTGTCACTTACTCAGAGAGGATCTCCCTGACCATGGTCACTAGATGGTGTCACCCTCATAATTCTCTCTTTTCATTAGTTGTTTCTTTATCACAAGTATTACTTTGTACCCTTGTTTTGTTTCTCTGTCAGCCCCTCTAAAATGTAAGTAGCATGTAAGCAGAGATGGGGTTGTCTTATTAACCACTGTTGCTTGAGTGAACAGGAAAAGTAAATGGGGATATATCCCTACTCTCAATGAAATTACTTGAATTTATGGCAGATGGTCTGTACTATGAGAAAATTCAAACCATAGGCCACTGGAGGGAAGCAAGCTGAGCAGCCAGGAAAGATTTCAGTGAGTGCAAAATGTTGAGCTTGGGGTCAAAGTAGGATTTTAGATGGGCTAGGTAGAGATAAGACAAAAGGGCATTCCAGGCTGGGGCAACAGCTTAGGCAAAGGCATGGAAACCAGTGAATGCATGGCGTGCAACCAAAGCAGAGCATGATTTTGTGTGAATGGAATGGAAAGGGTACCAATCTCCTGTTCATGGATGTATGCTTCCAAGTATTTATTATTATGAATAACCCTCCAGTGAATATCTTTGTACACACACCTCTTACATGTTTGTGTTAAATTTTATACCTATAAATTCCTAAATATGAAATTTATTGGAATAAAAGGTATGTACAAAGGAATGAGAAAGGTGTGAAAGGAGAGTAAAATGGAATTGGTGAAAATAGGAGGCAGGGTAAGAAAGGAGGGGAAAGAGAGGGGCTTAAGGAATACAAGAGAGTAGCAGTGGGGTAAGGGGTAAAAGAGAGGAGGTATATAGGAAAGGGTAAGAAAGAATGAGGGTGGAGGGTATGTAATGTTGAGAATAGTGGGGGTAGGAAAGGACAAGTTCGGGAGAAAGAGCTAGGGACTAAGTGGTGGAGGGTGTATAGGAGGTAAGAGGTAAGTGAGTGGGGTGAAGGTGAGAGGAGATGAAGGATAAACAAGAGTAGGGGCATAAGAAAGGGTGAGATGAGAGTATGAGGGGCTGGTAAAAGGAGGGGGTAAGAAAGAGGGAGTAAGTGATATGGGGTAAGAGTGAGCAGAGGGTGGATTAGAGGGAATAAGGATGAATGAAAAATATAGAAATGTAAAAAAGCAGGGGTAAGAAAAAAGGATAAGAGAACACAAGGCAGGTAAGAAAAAGAAATAGAAGGCAGGAAAGAAAAAAAAAATTACAAGAGCTAAGGGGACCAGTACCTCAGAGATTTCTGCCTCCATCTTTTGGATCCCACAGTGCCAAGATGAGTCTCTGTCCACCACCTCTGCCCCAATCTCTGCAGCCTAGACCCAGAGTCTGCTTCATCCTTACCCAAAATTTTGTGGAATGACCCCTACTCCTGACCCTGCATCCATCAGTGGGGTTCATAGGTCCCTGTGGGATTCTCTCTGGGCTCTTCCAGGTCAGTGCTCTTGCTCCTAGGTAAGCAGGGCCCAGTGCAGTTACTGCCCTCCTCCCAGGCAGCTGCAGCTTGCCCAGTAATAGGCTATGGTGGCTGGGCACTCCCCCCATCTGCTCCTGGAAGGAAGGAGAAAGGGAAGGATGTAGGAAAGGTGAGGGAGAGGAGGGGATGGCCTGACAGAAGGAGTGCAGCCTTTCTCCTTAATGAGATGACCCCCTCTCAGTCCCCACACCCCCAGCCAGAGTCACCATGGCAACATGTGGGCGAGCAGATTGCTTGGGGAGGACACCAGGCCTGTGGGTGGTGAGGCAGGAACAGGCAAGGAGCCAATGAGAGAACTGGAGGAAGAAGAGTGACACAGGGCTCAGAGGTAATCCAATTCCTTGGCTTCACAGATATCCAGCTGAGGCCATTATGGCCTGTATACTTTAGAGTTGGCATGGGGTCCTTCTCAGGTGAAAGGTCTGGCTCTCAGTGCTACCACCTAGGTAACAAGCCTGTATTAGACTATGTAGCCCTTTTCCTAGGATGGGCCCAGGTAGTTGCCCTGTCACATCAACATTAGGACTGAGCCAAGGAGGCAGACTAGACACAGGGGCCTGGACAGTCATCTATGAGGAGGGGGAAAAGTGAGGAGGGAAAGGCTTAGGAGAACTGTGGGGCTTGCTGGATGTGGGGCATGCAGGAGGAAATGTCTCAGCACCAGGTAACAGTCAGTTGAGAGACCCTTGGAGATTATTTACTCTCCAGCTTCAATTCTGGCTACATATTAGAATCACCCAGAGAGCTTTGTAAAAACACTCTTGCCTGGCTGACATTACAATCCAGACCAACGAGGGCAGAGTCCTTGTGGGTGGAGCCAGCACATCTGTAGTTTTTCAAAATTACATCAGGCAATCTTAATATGCAGCCACAGTTGACAATCATCAGTTTAGTACTACTTCATCATTTTACAGATGTGAAAACTGAGGCCCAGAAAGGTGTGAAGGATTCATTTACAGAAACATAAAATAGTGGCAGATGGAGGAACTTGAAATCTTGTTTCCCTGCTCCAACTTCAGGGTTCTTTCTATTGAATTATCCTGTCAGTAACTATGAATTCAAAACTCAGGGGGCAGAACACAAGGGCGTGGTAGGGGAGGACAGCTGAGGAGAACCAGGCCTGCTCTTCAGGGCTTTTCACACTCCAGCCCTGGCAGAAAAGGCTTCTCCATTATTTTCTGTCCTCTGAGCTTAACCATCCTGGACCCTTAAGGTGACCGCAGGGGGGTTTAGGTGGGGCAGAAAGCCTTAGCCTGGCAGTGCCCTCCTTTCCCCACCTCAGTCCAGCCACTGCTGGGCTCAGTTAAGTTCTGACTGCTACAGCCTAGTTGCTATGGGAACTGGGAGGGGAAGAAAGC